TGTTACATCAACTAATTTCTGTACATCAATATCCATTTCTATACATTCAATATGAAACTACTTAAAAATATTGACTGGTACACTTCTCAACGATATTAGTTTTATTAGTTGTTTTTTCATTATATTGCCTGATTTATATCGAGCAAAAACTGAACACCTGCATTTCCATTTACGAGATAACTCGTCAAGGTAACATAGCATTACGTAAAATTCAGAAGTTAAGGCCACTTTTGACAACATTTTTTTTTAATTTTTGGAATGTTTTTTAAGTCTCCAAATTTTTTCAAAAATGTTTACCCGCACAAAAAAATTTTATCGCGATTTTAATCAACCTTTAATGACGCGCGATTAACGCTTAATTGTTTTTTAATGTGATTTTTTTATCAAATTTAATTAACCGTTCTAAAGTTGTAGTGCACAGATTTGACTTCGGTAAAGTTATTTAAAGCTAATTTCTGATGTCAAAAACGACCTCCGATAGTTTTTTAATTTTTTTAAATTAATATATTTTATTATATTTAAGTTTAATTAAATCGGGGAGGGTAGGGAAATCGCAATTAAAAATTTAATTTTTTTTAAAAATTTAAAAATATACTGTCAACTAGTATTTACCCTACTTTAAACCCTTGTCTTCCCTAGACGTCTATGAGAATGTCCCGGAAAATTCGACACCAAATGTTCTCAAGGTCATCCAGCTGTAAACACTATGACTCATCGGTGTCAAATTTCACAGAAAAACAAGACAAAGTAAGTTAAACTTTGAAGCTTTTTCTTCAAAATTAACATATTTCTTTCCTTTTTTCAGTTTTAAGTATTTTTTTATGTTTAATTATAATTAATTAAAGATTGATCGAGAATCAAGGAGTTAACTGTGCATAACCATTTACATCATTACTCTGATCTAAAGCAATTGAATACATTTCGGCATAATTTAAGTCGTTATTTGCGAAAAAAATATTTATTTTTAATTCTATTGCTCGATCTTTAATTGTATTGCGACTTATTGATAACTCATCTATTCGCTTTATAGTCAAGTCTTATTCTTTAAAATCTGCAAACAAAGTACAGTAGAGCATCGATTATCCGACCTCCGATCAACCGTCACATCGGTTAACCGACCGCGTTCTAGTCGACAAATTCAAATGTCTGCTAGTGATATGGCGCAACAACATTTGGCTATATATTGGGTACTATAATATTATTTTTACGTGTTTTTGCTGGCAACACTGGCTCGACTATGAAAGGGAGCCAGTATTTAAACGAGATTTAATTTTTTACTTTTTAACGATAAAATAGCGACGATTATTATTTTAGAGAATGTTTCTTAGGCTTAACATCGATGAAAATTCAACGCGAAGTAGGTTAATAGCAATATACTAATATACTAATTACACGGGATATAATAATATACTATACTAAAAATGTATATTTTCATATTTTTCGGTTATCTGTTTTTTCAGTTATCCGACCAACCCCAGTCCGCAATTGAGTCGGATAATCGATGCTCTACTGTAGGTCCACATTCTAAAAATGCATGTTTTACAAACTCTCCTTCTAAAAGAGGTTTCTCGTGGCGAGCAATGCAATAAGCAACTTGAAAACTAGCAGCTGTAACGTTCTTTTTTGGAGTAAAATAAGATTCGAGTCGAGATTAGAATGCAACTTTTCAAAATTTCTTTTTACATTTTCTGTACGTGACTTTGCCGGCCACGACCACGTGGTTGTCCACGATGACACGATCCATTTTCGGTGAAATTAATCATATTCAATTTCGAAATTTTTCAACGTTGCGTGTCGCCCGGGTTGAATTTTTGTCCGTGCATAACGAAAATTTCCCATTTTTTAAAAAATAATCCTGGCTATCTTAACGTCCGAAATTATATCTTTATTTTGAAGAAACAATATACATATGTATATATTAGTAAATGTAAAAAAAACAAATTATATTTCGGAAGTTAGTTTTAATATAAAATTACGACATATAACGACTTGCGCCATGTACAGTACAGTATAACCACAGGATACGAAATTAATCCGTTCCGAAACTAAGATCGCATCATGAAAATGCCGTAAGGTGTATCATTTTTCCCAATATGATTACTTGTAAAAACAAATAATTTGTTCCAACACGAAAAACACACAAAAATTAAAGCTAAGTAAGTAGTACATTGAAAAAAAATAACTTTTATTAAGGAAAACACTGAAAAATGCGTTTTGTAGTTGTAAATGTATAAATAACCATAATAAAATAATAACTGATTAAAAAATATAGTTTTATTTGCACTTTATCTTTGATGATAGACGACAGTGCAGGTGTAAACTGGTGGCGGAAGAGAGTGAAAAGGGAATAATATTAAAACTTAACTTACATAACATAATGTAATAATAACTTAAAAATAACTTAGAAAATATTTTATAAAATTAGTGTTGTTTTATTCACTGCCTTTTGCTTTCTTTTCTTCATTTTCACCAGCACCTTCACCGGATAGAAGTCGCTTGATAAAATATCTATCCAAAGAGGTTAGGCTTTGCCTACTTTTTAAAATGTTTTTAAAATGACAGGCAAATGTCATTACTCTGAGCAGCAATATGGTCAGTGTGAACATTTTCAAAATGTTTTTTTTTCAATAAAATCAGTCACTTTCTGATAATACCTCAAGATTTCCTTTATCGAGCAAGATCCATCCAGGACGAAGCAAACACGTAAACTGAAACCAATGAAGAAAAGTTAATAAAAATAGCGCTGCGAACTCACGTAACGTCGTATGGTGACTTTTTATTCGTACCGTGAAGCAAAATCACATTCAAATTTCTTGTCGTATCCTGAAAATTTCGTATGCTGGAGCGTATCCTGAGGTACAACTGTACTTTGAAAAACGTTTTGATGCTGAAACGAGATATGTCGGCAATAACACGAGACAAGTAAATGGGGGTTTTTTCAAAGATTCGTTTGTCAAAATTTGATATCGCAACGTACGGATTTCCAACTTTCTAACGAGCAACGCATTCGCAAACCTCCTACTGCCTTTTGTAGAGAGTGTCGCCATTTTAAGTTTTATTTTGACTCGGTTCTCGGTCCCCCGAGTATTTACGATTCTGGTTTTTTTTATGCGCGCATGTTTAGAGAACCTAATACTCTGTGCTAAATTGCAACACTTGATATGTACTTATTCATACATCTAAGCTGATTACCCAGCAGGCAGTAGGATTTTATAAACAAGATATAGTCATGTTAATAATAATAATGTTGAATTATTAAACACTTCTAGACACGTCCGACACTTACGCAGGCTACCGTTTAGTTCAGCACTGGTACATTCCTGAGCTAGCACATTTCCTCGTTCAAAGATGCAAAGATATGTATGCGCGTCAACTTTATGACTAACTGTCACGAGTCATACACAGGTGCAGTGATATGATAGAAAATCAGCTAGTTAATGTCCGCTTGGAAATATCTACTATATAAAATCGAAATGGGCAGTTCTGTGACGGTATGCCGAAAATGACCACTATAGGCTTCCATAGATATTATTTAAATTAAAAGTATAAATTATTTTATCTTTATTTTGTATTTTTACAGTAGTATAATTTAGTATATTATTGTTTTTATTTGTAATAGGAATTTATTAATTTATTATTTATACCATGGAATGACACCAAGCACATGCCCCTATGCCTGCATCGCACATTTAGACTTGTTTTATTTTTATAAATTTGACATTAGATATATATATTTATATATTTTTAATATTTTTGTTTGTCTATTTTCTTTTTTATGATATAAAAAATAAGTCTATGAAAATCAACGCGTGGGTCATTTAAAAAGCCTTTGTGGGTCAGTCTCTGATCCACGGGTCATAAGTGCGCCACTACTGGCCTGGAAGGTTCTACATAAAGAAAAATTAAAGTCTATCGATGAAATTCATTGAACACTGATTTAGTTCTCGAATAAACCCAAATCACAGAACGCATTACAATAGTGAACACAGAGGATGCTCAAAAGCTTCAACGCCATTTCTGCAGCAATGCTCTTATCATACTAGCATACTAGCAATATGTCCGAACAGGTCTCATATAAAACTCGGCGTTTCTTGTTCAAGTGCACATCTGTTCAGGCAATGCGCAGGTTGTACTTAATGTTCAGACAATGTGCAAGTTGTAATTGATGTTCAGGAAGCTTCACATAAAAGGTCGATTTCCGCACACAAATGCTATCCTATAAAATTTATCTAATTTAAGTATTATTAATCGAACAAATAATTGTAAATCTAAGATAAGATGGAAAAAAATTGTAATAGACTTAAACGCCTAACTTAAACAAAGATAATGATGATAACAACATTCTTTACATTTTTTTGCAAATCTATTATTATTACAATCAAGACATTTCACTGCGAAAATTCATATAAACAATTTGAAAACAAAAGCAAGTTTCCTGCTTTGATTTTTACTTGGTTTGTTTTAATTCTTGTTTTCACTGTGGCTTATATAATAGTTTTCAACTACAACATCAAATCTATTTATACATTTAATGTTCTGTACTTGTAATTCTGTAGTAAAAAATTGTATTTCATTTACAGAATACAATTCTGACTTTTATAATATGTAATATAGTGTTAAGTTTTTGGACCCTTTCTTGTCACAATTGTATACATTTTATATGAAAGGAGAGTAGAGTTTAGCGAACTGCCTGCCATATAACCATAGTGTTTGTGTTAATAACAGTTACATATTAATTAGTCACTTATTTTAAATATCTTTATTTAATTTGGATTTGTATAATTTTCATTCTGTAGTTTATCAAAAAAATACTAAAATGAAATACAAGTATTTTGTATCCAACACATCATTAACAGAATCGTCTATGTTCAGCCCATTTTATGCAATACAGATAAATACGAACAACATATCGTTAAATACAATTTAATTTACGTAAACTTAAATGTGAGAAATTATCAATGTGATAAATAAATAAAATGCAAAAAATAGTATAATTGTGAAGCAGATTTAATAACAATAATCTTAATACAATTTATTCCCATTCATAAATTACAATTTATGAATAAATTTCGATACAGTTTTTAAATGCACTCGTCTAGATTATATGATATAGCGTTATGTTTATATATATTTTTAATAAAAATTACCCCAACGTTTATGTTATTTCATTTCTTACAACATACGTCTTTTTTCAACAAACATTGTTATATTTGATATTGGGGTCAAAATACTTTCAAAAGAAGTAACGATCTTATCTTGAGGGTCCAAAGAGTAAACTTTAAAATTTCGAAGAACATTTGCCAAAACCGTCTTTATAATAATCATGGCGAGTTTACTTCCTGTAAATAAATTATTTTAATGAAATAATTCTTTTGTTTTTGTATTTATTCACTAATCGCTTACCGAGACAATTTCGCGGACCGGCAGCAAATGGCAGAAATGCATAAGGATGAAGATTTTTATAGTTTTCAAATAGGAAACGGTCTGGATCGAAAACTTCGGGATTTTCGTAAAGAGAAGGATTATGATGAATACCAAAGATATTTATGACAAGAGTCGAATTTGCAGGCAACACGTAATTACCTATTTGAATGACATCAATTTGATGCTTTAAGTCGATAACAAATATGAAATATTATTATTCAAAACAAATCGCATAATGTTAAAAATTTACCTATTTTCATTTCGGAAAAATTTTTTCTTGCAATACCAGGAAAAGGAGGATAGATTCTCATCGACTCCTGAAAATTGTAATGTATGAAACTAATCTTTGAATGTAGTTAAAAAAAATGAAAAATTTACCTTAATCACGCATTCCAAGTACGTCATTTTCGTCAGATCATCGATATTAATATCTCTATTCATATCATTTTCGAAAATTTCTTGCAATTCTAGATACACTTTCTCTTGTATTTCGTGGAATCTTCCCAGGAAATAAAGAGTCCATGACATAACGTGAGAGGTTGTATCGTAACCCTAATATGAAAGTACAGTAAAAATATATGTAAAATTGCTTTCTATATTATTGATATTTGCAGTAAAATAAGTACTGTGTAATAAACTTGTAAAATTAGGATATGACATGCACAAATACCGCTATTCTTTTATATTTCTGTCATACCACTTTATAATCCACAACGACATTTCTTGCAACAAGTGATTGCCGCGGATCTACTGAGTAATTTTAATTAAAAAAACAAATTTCAAACTTTCAAATTGAATTAAAAGTACACAATGACACAAAACATTCCCGACGTACAAATTGTCGAGAATCAAACGAACTATTTTCAATTTGATCAATTTTCTGGAACGTTTACAATCGTTCTATAATTGAACCAATATGCAATAAGAAATTCGAATTTAAAACGGTTCGAACATTTTTAAAATCGAAATAGATAAAAATATTTATAACAGTGTCAGAAATGTTATCAATTTAATACACCTAAGTACTCAATGAAATAGTTGAAAAAAATCGCCTCTAAAATAGTACAGTAGAAGCCGTTTTTCCGGTTAAGCCTTAATGCTCTCCCTCACCCCCGCGAAGAAATTTTTAAAAATTACTTCTTATTGTGCATTGCCATGGCGTACTCTACTAAAACGCAGATAAAAACAAAAAATCGCATTTAAAATAGTACAGTAGAAGCCGTTCTTCTGGTTAAGCCTTAATGCTCTTCCTCTCCCCCACTTTGGAATTTCAAAAATCCCTTCTTAGTGTGCGTTTCCATGACGTACCCTAACTGTGTACCAAATTTCACCTCTTTAGGTTCAGCGGTTTGCTCTGGGCGATGATGAATCAGTCAGTGACTCAGGACAAGCAATTTTATATACAGTAGAACCTACATTATCCGGACCTCCATTATCCGGATTTTCGATTATCCGGATTGTTCAAAATAAACAAAAATTTTACGAATCTGCTGATTTGCACTTGGCGAATTACGACACTGTTTATGAACGTGATGGAATGCATAACTTTTTTTTGTTTCAACAACGTGTCACCCAGCACAGTTGGTCGTAAACTCTTAAATATATTATACGTAGTAATAAAAATATAACTTGACATACGTATTTATAAATAATTTATATTCAAATTACATCATTTCTATGACCAAGGGCGGCGTAAGGCATGGAC